GGTGTAGACGTTTAGGCTCAGGATGCAGCCTGAGCTCTGGGACCCTTGCGGGCCCTAGAGCCCAGGCTGCAGCCCAAGGTGGAATGTCTACATTGCAGTTAAACATTCCCCAAGTCAGTTGCCACAGGCCAGCTGTGCGTTAGACACACCCATAGACTAGGTCTCATACATTGCAAAATTTCTTTTCTATGTATTGATACAAGGGCGGTCCACATACATATATAGTTCTGATACTTGGCTGCCAAGCAAGCAGTTACATTCTTCCAAAGCAAGAATACTGAATGCATTCATCAGTTGTAGATGTTGGTCCTCTTTTCCACATGTGGCCAGTAATATTTTTTAGCTAAGAGAAGTTGATTACTGAGATTTTAAAAAATGAATCAGAAGGATATTTAGCATCCTACAAGGAAAATGGCTGGACCAAGTGGAACTTGTAGTCCTGTGAGCTCATTTGTGATGTCTTTGACCTGGGACCAGAAATTTAACTCTAATGAAAGGACAAAGCCACCATAAGAGTATAAAGGGACCAGGGCATTTTTTCCTGCATTTTTATGAAGTGTCACTTATTTTGTGTAATTTTCCAGGTGTCCCAGATTGATTCATGTTTCTAATCTCATGTATGATGAGCACTATGACATTTTTGACAGTGATACTTAGTGTACATAATATTTTCTTTTGATATATATATGAATGCTTGTTTTTAAAACAGATGAACATATGAATGGTATACAAAACTCTTACCAAATGTGGTCGGCACCTAAAGTCACTTGGTGCCTGAGTTTCTTAGACAATTCTCTGGGTGCCCAGGACTGCCAGTGACCTTGTTACTCCCCGCTTCCAGGGAGAAGGAGCCTTTCTTGTCACATCTGTGTGTCGGCTCCCTGGCATTGCCAGCCCTTCAGCCGCTCAAGCACTCTCCTCTGGCAGGCATGTTAACAGTAGGTACACTCAAGTCCCTTTGAATCTTTCCCCTATGATATCAAGCTCCTGACACTGGCTACTCACAGAAATTCCAGATCCGTTGCACTCAGAGATGCAGTGTATACCTGCTTACTAGTTTATTATTAAACCATGGCTCCTGTAAACTAAACCGCACTTGTGAGTACTTATAATTAGGGCTCCATGTCATGGAGGTTGCGGAAGTCATGGATTCCATGGCTTTCCGCAAACTCCATGGCTTCTGCAGTGGCCAGCGTGGCTGATCCCAGGGCCACCCAAGCAGCAGGCCCCAGGGACAGTCACACCAGCCGCTCAGGCAGCCCCACAGCCAGCCACATTGGCTGCTGCTGGAGCTGCCCCAAGGCCAGATGGATCAGCCGCTGCTCAGGTGGCCCCAGGTAATTAGCCCTGGGGACCGCTTGAGCAACGGCCGGTGTGGCTGGCCCTGGAGACCTCGGGGGCAGCAGGAGCAGTCATAGCTTGACGGCCCCTGGCAGCAGTCCCAGGGGCAGCCCCTCCCCCCCCCCAGCAGTGGCTTCCGGGGACCGTCCAGAGCATCAGCTCCCGCCTCCCGAGCAGCGTCCCTCTGAGGCCCCGCAGAGCAGCCGCTCCCCCCAGGGGCCCCTCCCAGCAGCGCCTCCCCAGAACCTTCAGACAGTGGCCCCCCAGCAAAGATTTAGTCAGGCGTATTTATATTACAAGTCATGGACAGGTCATGGGCCGTGAATTTTTGTTTATTGCCCATGACTTTTATTAAAAATACCCATGACTAAATTGTAGCCTTACTTATAATAAAACAAGTGGGTTTTTTAAGAATAAAGATTTACCTAGAAGTGAGAGAAAGTGATGGGAACAACTGATGACAAAACAAAACAAAATCATAAAATGTAAATCTGGTTCTACACTTATCAATACGTACCTTTCCTATATAATAAAGTAGGCTTTTTTCCCCTCAAAATTCAGGCTATTGCAGATCTGGTTGGTTTCACAAAAACCAGGATCCAAACGTTCATGAAAGCATCCCCCTCCATGAGGGGTTTTCCTGAGTGAATGAATACAGAGTGCTTCTCCCTCCTCTATGTTATACTGAAAACAATCTTTTGTTCCTATTCACAGACAGGGCAAGCTCCTGTCTTGTTGTAATGTTCCTCTTTTACCTCCTAGAGGTTTTGATCATTTATAGTTGTTTCTGGTGGTTTTCAATTGATAATCTTGGGAGCAAGCAAGGCTAGACACTTCACTGGCTAACCCCAAGGTGCGGTGACAACTCTCCTTTGCTCAAATGGGCATCAGTGAAACACATTATCCCTGGTGAATATTTTTCACTCTTAAATCCGTAAAGCATACCTTCAATATAAATACACAATTCCTTAAATATTACCCGTACTTCCACCTCACAATGATTATGAATCTTGACAAGTTACAAGATTTCTGTAGATACCTTACATGATACTCTTTATGGATAAATATCCTGTAAGACATGTTTGGTGTGGTGAATTTGCCAGGTCTGAGCTGAGAGGAGTTTGCAAAGAACAGGAGACTCTTCGCCAAGGGGTTTCAGTGTCGCAGTTTCTGTCTCTGGGCATACTCATTGCTGCCTCACTCGGCATCTGGATGCCTGTCTCCCACCTAAGCCCCAGAGCAATTCATGAACTAGGGAAAGACAGGCATTTGGCCACCTAAGTCACATGCAGGGCCCGAACTGGTAGGTGACCTCTGGCATGCCAACCAGATTGGGTGCCATTCAAAATCAGGCCAGAGGAGGAGGTGGTGCTGCTGCCCACTATACAACTTTTAGTCCCGTGGTTAGAGCACTCACCTGGGATGTGGGAGACACAGGTTCAATTTCTGCTTCTACCTAAGGTAGAGAAAGGGGGATCTCCCACCTCTCAGGAGAGTGCTCTAATCACTGAGCTATGGGATATGCTGATGTGAGGGCTCCCTCAATCCTATTGAAACTGTTCCACTGTGAATACATAATGAAAGAGCAATGGTATGCCATCCGTCTAAACAATGCATGCCTCGCATGTCCCAGGGCTGGCTGTGCCCGTGGGGTGATTCTGTCCAGCTCCTGAATGTACATGAAGGATGCCACTTTGTATGCAAGTGTAGAATTGCATGCCTAATTAAAAATGTCACAGCACATTGAAAGAATGATTGGAGCAGGGGGACTGCATCCTAGATCTCCCACCTTTCAGTCATTTTCTCTCTGGCACCAGTGATTGTTTCATAATGGGTAAATACTTAAGTAGTCAAGAATGGGGGAAGGGAGAATATGAATGAATGATTCTGTAGTCAGGGTACCCACCTGACAGGTGGGAGACCCCTGTTCAAATCCTTTTTCCTCCTCTGATAGAGAGAGGGAAATTGAACCTAGGTCTCTCAAATTCTAGGGGAATGTGTTAACCACTGACTGCTAGCTCCTTACTTAGTCTCACAAGAAACCCCTTAGTGACCTAAACTGCCTGACTCCAGGCATCAGGTTCCTATTCCTGGATCGCTAAGCAGAGATAGGCATCTTCCTGCTGCCCAGACTTAGGTGCCTATCTCCAAGAGAGGGTCAGGGCTTAACACACCCACCTCTTGTCAGCATCCCCCATTGGCTGGCTTAAGTGGCTTCCTGCCTAGGATGCTGGGTTTTGTGGATCACATTTTTAGGCACCCATCTCACCTCATTCATTATATGAAGAGCCTAGTCGCCTAACTCGGCTTTGTGGATTGCAGTGCTGTTCTTGTAATTTTCTAGGTGCCATGACACTCAGCAATGCAACACCTTAGTCCTTTCATGAATCCTACCCTTTGTGCCATGCTTTGTTGAATTGTGATATGATTGTAGCTCTGTTGGTACAATTTAATCGCAGGGGTGCTTATTTCTTTACTGCTGGGGTCATTTAGTGTTACCAGCAAACGCAAAAGATCATCCTTATATGATCACACTCCATAGTTCAAGGAAGTAGTTTCATCCAGTTATACAGAATGCCTTACCCATTAAGCTTGCCTCTGGGTTGATTCCCCTACTTCCATAATCAGGCCATGTAATGCTATAATTGACTTTATTTATACACTGTAATACTGTAGATTGGCTTGTTAATGGAGATGAAATGACCTTGTTTACAAGATGACTCAGAGAATCAGGCAATGTGCACAGACATTACAGGCTCATACAGTAAAGCAAAACAGGGTAGAAAGATTTAAATTCAGTCTGAGTACATTTTTATTGCAGTCTGAGTATCTTTCTGGTTTTGGAAAACATTAACATTATTCCAGACCAAGTTGCTTCCTGATTTCTAACACTAACTAATGGGACCCTCTCACAGTTTTTCTACTTCAGGTTCTTGGTAGAGCATTGCTGTATATTCAGGGTGAAATTCTGGCCCTACCACACAGTCCATGAGAATTTTGCCATTGACTTCAGTGGCACCAAGATTTCACTCTCAATCTAGGGCAATGATAGAGAAACTAGTACGGGCCCTATTTCTACTGTTGCTGTAATTCAGCTATTCATGAAGTGCTTATGCTGTTAGGACTACATTTCTACTGCAGTTAATTTAGTTTATTGTAATGACTTCATAGTTAATATTGATTTAGTTTTATTTTCTTACTTCAAGAAGTAGCAGGAATTGGACTATATAATAAGAATTTAATGTCAGCTTCTGGAAGGTTGATTAGGACAGACTGAGTACAAGATGTCAGTTAAAATAACCATCACAGTACTCTAAAAAAGGTCAGTGGGCGTACATTTCCTTTATTCTGTCATTCATTACTCTCCTATTCCTCTTTTTATGTTCTTTGATGGCAAGCCCAGAAAAGGGTTTGTAAAGTCTGCAAGTGGTGCTGCAGGAGGACTGTTTTCACTGACAGGGAAGTGAAGTTACGCAGATCAGTAATCTAGTGTTTCTGAAGAGTGTAAAAGAGAGATTTACTGAGACAGCATAGGATAGAGCATCTGTCTGCAATTTACAGAGAAAACCTGCATTGTGTTTGTGAAATCTGAGGTTTTCAATTGCTGAAGCCCTTGTTTGGCAGCAAAATAAATATGACCTTTTATTTTCTTCATCCAGGACAGGTCTTTCTAACCTGTTGCAGCAGAAGACATCAGAAAAACTCTTAAGACTGTGTATTTATCAGACTTCAGCTTCTAATTTCTTTGAGTACAATGCCAAGACCCACTCCTCATATCTCTCTTTTCTGTGGATTAGGAGTTAGAAGCTTAGTGGAAAAGTTCTGAATTGGGAAACATGTCTGCAAATGAGTCACCTCCTCTAATGCAATGCTACAGTGCTAAAATGTTTTTGGTAAGTAGAAATTTAATACACTGGCACAGAGAATGTTTTTTAAGTTTTAAAGAGTAACAAACAATTTAAGGTAATAAATAATATCTAAAAAACAGTAGAAAGTGGCCTTTTAATGTCCGAGAAGAACCTGAGATATGCATTTTTATATTATATTTTAGTTTAAAACTCAGTCCACATGATTCCTTTGATTTTGTACTTGCTTTCAACTGAAATCTTTCTATAACACGTATACAGGTTAAGACAACTTTCTGCCACTTTCTGCACACTTTGGTTTGGCAAGGCTTTAAAAATGTGTAGACTTCTAAATGTAGTATGTATTAATCTCAGGTGTACCACTATTAACATTAGGGTTCATGCTCTGGGTGTCCTGCTGTTGACACTACCGAAGTGAGCCCTGTGACCATCTCCAGAGCTCACTGAGCGAACACTGATATTTTGGGAGCTCAGCGATGGACCTGGAGACTCCTCTTCTTTGTGGATCGGGAAAAAAGTGATTGCTGGGAAGAAAGAGACCTTCTCTGCATGTGGTCAGACTAGATGGTCACATTGGTCACCTCTGGCTTTATAATCTATTAATCTAGTGGTCAGGGCTGGGGCATGGGCAGGCTGGCCTAGGGGTTAGTGTCAGGCATGGGCTCAGGGTCCAGAAGCCAATTACCAGGAATGAGACTAAGTTGGAATGTCAGGAGATCAGAATCGACAGTCAGGATACCAGGAGGTCAGGATCAGAAGGCAGGAACAGGTAAACACCAGACTAGCAGTCCATGGCAGGATGAGACCCAGTTGTACAGAAAACTTCCTGTTTCTTCCTCTGGCTTAAATAGAGGCTGCAGCCCATTAAGGAGTTTTGGATCTCACCCAATCAGAGTGTAGGGGCGAGTCTTGTGGCCTAGTTGGGCTTCATGGACCCCAGTCCTAGGTGCTATCTGTAAGCTGCTGGGTGGAGAATTGGAATGTGATGACTCCCAGGACACCTATGCACCCAGGTTTGAGACCCGCAGGGCCTGATATCACCCCCTCCCTCCAAGGAGTGCCCTCTGGGTGTTGTGGGTCTGGCCTTCTCAGGGTGGTTCTTCTTGAAGGCTTATTGTATTAGAGCAGGTGTATGAATGTATTTCTCTGGCTCCCACATATGCTCCTCAGGACCATAACCTTCCCAGTCAATAAGGTGTAAAAGTTTTCCCTGCTGGCATTTAGAATCCAAGATCTCATGTATTACATATTCTTTGTGGCCTTATACACACACTGTCAGGGGAGGTGGTTGAGTCCTGTGTGGAAATGAGTTCTTGATATAGGGTTTCAGGTGGGATATGTGGAATACCGGGTGAATATTGAGAGATTGGGGTAGGTGTAGTTCAGTGGTGACCTGATAAACTTGATGATGGATTTCCTAAGGGCCAAGGTACTGGAAGTCCAACTTGTGCGAGGGGGTCTGTTGATGCAGAGGTGTTCTTTTGAGAGCCACACTTTTTGTACCACTGAATAGGTGGGACCTGGTTGATGATGTTGGTCTGCATGTCACTTGTAGTTAGCTTTCACTTTTTTTTCAAGGTGGCCCCTTACTTCCTGAATTTGATGAATCATCTGCACTAAATCTGAAGTGATGGAGTTAGGAGAGGTCGTAGGTAGTTGTGGGTAGAATCAGGGGTGGAACCATAGTTGGCTGAGAAAGTTTTTTTTCCCCTGTGGATGCGTGATCTGCGTTATTGTACACACATTTCACGTAGGGTAGTAGTGCAGAGCAATCCTCTTGATGGTGGTTAATATAACATTGTAGGTATTGCTCTAAAATCTGATTGACCCTTTCCATCTGGCCATTAGACTGAGGATGGTAGGTGGAGGAGTAGTGAGGCTGGACCCCCAGAAAATGTAGGGCCTCACGCCAAACTCAAGCTGTAAATTGTGACTTTGGGTGTCTCTTTGGTAGAAGGTAACCTGGTGCAGGGCACACAATAGACCATTGTGGTGAAGTGGTCTACCACTGTCAAGATCGTCATGAACCTGTTGGACTCAGGGAGCTCCACGATAAACTCCAATGCCATAGTGGCCCAGGGTCGGGATGGAGTGTCTAGAGTCGAACTTATACTGCAGGGTTTGTGGCATGACATCTTGGCTCAAGCCACATCACAGGATGGTATGACGGCCCGTATTTTGGGGCTTATTCGAGGCCACCAGAAAAGACCAGGTATCAATTGCTGAGTTTCAAAGCGACCCACGTGTCCTGCCAGTTGGAGTCATGTCATAACTGTAAGGCTGCCACTCTAGCCTGACCTGGAGGAATGTAAATGCTGTTATTCACAGACGTGATCCCCTCCTGAGTGTCATGTCATTCCCTGTTGATGGCAGCTAGTTCGCTGGACAGAATTTCAGAGTCAGAGGCAGAACAAATCAGTGCAACTAGGTCCTAGCAAGGAGCAGCATTCAGGAAGTTGTGGGGCTCGAGGATGTGGGCCGGTTCCCAGCTAGGTCCATGTGGTTCAGTATCAAAGCTCTTGGACAAAGCGTCGGCTTTGCTGTTTCTAGTTCTGGGGCAACATATGATAGTGAAGCTGAACTATGAAAAGAATAGAGCCCACCAGAGCTGCCGTTGATTTTATGTCTTTGCCTTTAGCACATATTCCAGGTTTCTGTGGTCAGCGAACAGTTGGACTGGATGGTGAGCCCCTTCCTAATAATGTCACCCCTCCTCAAAGGATGTCTTAATGGCTAGGAACGCCTTACCCAGGATCTCATAGTTCTATTTGGTGTGGGTAAGCTTCCGCAAATAATAGGCACATGGGTGTAGTATTTGTTCGGGTCAGTGTTGCTGAGAGTATGGCCCCCGTTTGCCACAGTAGAGGCAACGGCTTTTATTAGAAAGGCTCATATGGCAGCAGTCAGAAAACAATAATTAGGCTAATCAATTTCCAAAAAGCTAGAAAAGAAGTTTGGGGGCTAGGCCCTGGACTGGGATTCAGGAGTTCTGGATTAAATTCCTGCCTCTGCCACAGACTTTCCATATGATCCTGGGCAAATCATTTAATCTCACCGGGCCTCTGTTCTCCATCAGCATAGTGGGAATGACACTTCCTTTCTCCCACTCTTGTCTAGGTAGGCTGGTAAGTTCTTTGGACCTTGTATTAGTGCAGGGCCTAGTACAATGAGGCCCTGGTCTTGGTTGTGACCTCTGGGCATCAACTTAAAAATTTAAAGCTTCTTGACGTGAGAATGTATAAAATTTTCTCTGTTGGGCAATGTATCTTCATTTTTACAGGATCACCTCTCCTTTGTTGTCTGTGTCCCCACTGTCTCTTAATTTGAATATGATCCAAGGCATGAGAGCTATAGATTGGCAGACTACCACCACTGTGTAATTTGCAGGGACACTGTTAAGTAGTTACAGTCCAAAACTTGTTTTGTTAAATTTTATAGACAAAACCTTAAGTGTCAATGAAAATTCTTGATTTCATAGTAAATTAGCTTAACCATTTTAGCCATGAACTAGAAGGTTGAATTATACTAATGCATTTAAGGAACATTCTCATCCTGAGTAAATTGGGGAATATAATAGTCATGTAATTTACAGTCAGAATGATGTGCTGTGTATTGTAGTAGACATAATGTTTACTCCTGGGGGAATTCTGCGCCACTGCGTGTGCCCAGAATTCACTTTCCCCACAGACTTCTTTGCTTCCCCACAGAAAAATGGGGAAGCAAAGAAATCAGCGGAGGACATGCGCCCCTTCCCCAGCAGTCCAGGCGTGTCTGTTCGAGTGCTCGCAGTAGCTGGTGGAGATGTGCATGGGGAGATGTCAATTACCATCGGGGGGTGGAGCTGCATGTGTAAGCGAGAGAGACTGTCCCTCTTGCTCGCTATTGTGGCGCACCCAACGTGGAGCAGTAGGGCTTCAGTGTTTGGAGGTAAGCACGAGGCAGGCTCTGTCCCCGCAAGCAAAGCAGAAAATGTAGCAGCCTGCCTGCATAATTGTTCCTATTGTTGTTAGTTGATTGTTCCCATTCTTAGTGAATTCCCCCAAGAGCATAAAACAGGTCTAAAAGTTTTAGGGTTCCTTTACATTGCCAGAGTGGTGTAAAGGAGCCTTACTGTAAATGACAGTAAGGGAATCCTCAGCTAGGATGATCTATGTGCTTTCTTGCATTTTTCCTGTGCCAGAGAGGCACAATGGGGTTAGATTATAGCTCAGGATCTATTTTACTTACCCATTAGAAAAAAGACTTTGAGGGCAAATAAAATGTTTATCAATCAATCGATAAAATGTCAGGACAGTCAGAACCAAGCACTTCCAAAAGTAGCCAGCCAGGATTATAACTGGAATGCAGGGTATTGGTTAGCAAGTATCTGTAACTTAACTTCCATGTGTTTAGGAAATGCTGAATAGTTATTGTGCCATTTTTTCCTGTATTAAATTTTTTTCCTGTATTTAAATAAATTACCAAAATAATTGAAACTGGCGTGATTATATTGCTTTATTTGACAACATATGCAGATGTGACATTCCCCTCTGGTGTTATCTGGATCGGTGATCTGTTAGGTCACTCCAATCCTTGATTCTGGGAGCCAGCCTTACCCTGCTCTGCTGTGAGAACCCCCACTCCTGGGCCTCTGGCATGTAAGCTGCTCCCAGCTACGTGAGTGAGCACTTTTGGCCAGCTGCTGCTTGGATTGTGCAACCGAATGACACTAGCCAATATCTCCAGTTCCAGGCACAACCCTAGGAACCTCCATCTTGCAGTGTCCAGTTATGCCCACTGGATGCTGCAAGCTTATATGAGTTCGTCAATTTAACAAAGAAATTGATATGTACCAGGCTTGTTATCCCAAGAGAAGTCTCTGACACGCTTCAAACCAAATGCACTGCTTCAGGTAGAATAAACAAACAAATTTATTAACGCATTCTAAGCTGATCTTAACACTTTCAGTGCCCTTACAAACTTAGATGCTTCTCACCACAGGCTGGCTGGTTGCCCTTCAGCCAGGCTCTCCCCTTTGATCAGCACTTCAGTCGCTTGATGATGGTGTCTGTAGATGTACGTAGAAGAGAGAGGAAAAGCATGGCAAAGGTCTCTCCCTTTTATCATGTTCTTTCTTCCCCCTTGGTTTTACTCCCCCCCCTTAAGGGTCAGGTGAGCATTACCTCATCGTAGTCCTAAACTAACCAAAGGAAGGGTGGGTGACTCACTCGAGAGTCCAACAGATCCTTTGTTACTGCCTAGGCCAATGTCCTTTGTTCTTGTGAGGCTGGGCTGGGTTTGTCCCATACATGTCCTGATGTGGTGTGAACTGCCCCTCTGTTCCTGGTGAGTTTTGCCTGGGCTTGTTTTAAGCTATGAGGAGACATTTTCAGCCTCATAACTATATACACGAAATTACAACCTATAACATAACATTCCTATAACAACAATGCTCAGTGCATCATGAGCCTTCCAAAGACTTCCAACATGACAAACTTTGCATTGGATACCACA